TGGCTCTTGTTTTCCATCTGCTGGTGGCCTCGCGAAACTGGATGCTCTAGGACCACCTTGCTCCCTGGTTTGCCGATTGGCAGGTTGAAGAGACCTCAGCCAGGACCGTTTTCCTCGGCACCTCGCAGTCTCTCACCCTCCAGCTGCTAGCCTGAGAGTCCAGGCAGTAGTGTCACCGTTCACCAGTAGCAAAGCAGGATAAGCCTTGTGCATTAGTACCTCCCACGCCCTGCTTGCTGCTCACTGCTCTCATCCCATTTGCCCCACAGCAAGTTTAGAGTCAGTGTGGAAGGCACCTGCATGGTCTTGGATCCTGAAAGGTGTGAACACTCAACAAATCCTATAAACCTGAGCTTTAGCTCAGCAAGTAGTGACTGTTTCCTCCTCATACCCACCTGACGCCAACTCTGAGCTATACTGTGTTTCACCCTGCATGCAAAGGCAGTTTTCAGTAAAACCACACGCAGCCAGCTTAGCAGTTCTGGTGCCTAGCCTCACCTGCCAGCAAGTGTGGTAGAAAATCCACTGAGAGGGTAGAGGCAGGAAGTGGTTGCAGGACCAGAACTGACCCAGCACAGGAAGAAAGACCTCATATACCCAAAACACAGAGCAACCAAGAGTTAGGTCTGGATTCTGACATGCCGAAGTGAGAGACCTCACCAGGCTCAGAAAATGGGGGTGACTGATTCCTCTGGGCCAGCAAGGTTGCTCCCCAGACCCAGGTTAGAGGGAGCACTGAGCCCTACCCACAGGGGGAGAGATGTGTACCAGAGCACGTGAATGGTCAGTCCTCATGTGGCTGAAGGAGCCAACAGAGAGGTTAAGAAACCATTCCTGTTTCCCAGGAGGAGGGAAGCAGCAGCAAAGTGAACTGGTAGAAGATGAGTAGGTAACAAAACCAGTTAAAACCATTTTCTTTTGAATGTTTGCAGTACCCTGGGAGTTATACTTAACCTTTAATTTAGTCCTCAGGCAAGCAGTCCCAATTTTCAGATGAGGAAACTGAATCCAGAGACGTTAAATAAATTGCTGTCACTGAGCTCATTGTCCTACCCAGGCCTGCCAGACCCTATCATGCTGTGCCCCCTTCTCTGTCCCATGCTACTGCCATGGTCCACAGCAAAAATCAGAAGCCTCCTGCCCCTAGAACTCTGAAAGACCCCAGAGGCCCACTCCTAGCCCGGGACACTGGAATGTTTGTGTCAAGGAAAAGGAGAGACTAACAGAGGGTGTGGAAGGCATGAAGCTCAGCACATTCACTTTGGGAGGCCAGGGATACCCCAAAGGAGACATTTGCCCTGAACCCTCTCCCCATTCTGTGGCCTGACCTCCATCCATATCCTCCACTCACTTTCCCCCATTTGGAGGACCTTATAAGAAGGTCATTGGTAGAATAAGTCCATTCAAAGGGGTTCGGAAACCCCCAGGCTATTTAGCCAGCAGCTGCCGGCCATCTCTGAGTATCTGAGAAGCTGGAACTTGTCCAGAGTTTACTTACTCTGTGTTGATCCAAAGGTTGCAGCTAGAATGGATGTGCAGACATGGGGGAGACTCTAACCCACACAAAAACTGAGAGGCACAGAAGTCCATTTTGTGTCTTGTCACTCTCACTCACTGTGTACCTTGAGTTTGGGTCTTTCTGCACATTAGAAACACACACAGCTGCCCTACAGAGTGTAAATGAGGTGACGGCAAGGGGCCCAGGTGGAGACTGGCTCAGCCTTTGTTCATGAATGAAACCTAAGGGAACTGATGGTTTTGAGCAGTTAGATGGTCCTGCTTCCTGGAGTGACAGCAAAAGTTGGAGGCTACCTGGGGAGGCTGCTGAGGGGCTCCTGTCCTGGGTGTGAGGGTATACTGTTCACATGGGTTATGTCTAGAAGACACTGTGGCCAGTTTGCAGGTGAATATTGTCACCTTCCATGTTCATCCCTCGGGAGTGCAGCCAGGTAACAGAGTCTGGCCAGGGCAGAGGACAAAGAGATGGTGACTTGGATTTGAATTAGATAGCTTTCTTTTAGGGGGCTTTCCTGTTGAATCATCAGAGCTTTGGTAAGGGCATCCCCTAAGGTCAAAGGTACCAGACAGCAGGTTATTGTGACTCCCAGGGGCCCCAGGCAAGGAATTTATTAGGCTGAAGCAGGGGCCCAGGGCCACCCAGGAATGACATATTATGTGTGGGATTGTCCTGGTGCTGCAGGGTTTAAAGTCTCAGCTCTGTCAAGCTATTGCCAGCCACTGTGGCATGAGTTCGATCCCTAGCCAGGGAGCTGACCCACATGGCAGAGCAGACCTCTTCTGTCTTGCCCGCTGCTCCCCTCAGCAGTGTTTTTCAGTAGATCTGCCTGTTCTGCTCCCCAAGAGTGGTGAATCCTCTCACCCCTGCACCACTGGTCTAGACCCCAGTTGTATGCATAATTAAATATGTGGGATTGTGTTTGTCAGCATCAAGCACTCACCCTTTGTTGCCTCGGGAGGGAACATTTGCAGTGCCCACAAAACAGCCCATGTTCTATCTTGCACTACCACCTTAGCCACCTTGGGGGTCAGGGCAGTCGGTCTAGTGCCAACATGCACAGGGAGGTTTACTGTTGGTTCTAGCAGATGGGTAAAGAGAGTCCAGGAGCCCTCGGTGGATTTTTCAGGCTTTAATGCTCTCAGGGAACCAGGCACACAGGGACCCCAGGCAGGGATGCTGGCATACAATGAGGCAGGCACAGGCTGGGCACGGGGTATCTGAGAGGCAGGCAGGCAACCAAGCCCCCCAGGCCCCCACAAATCTTTCTTGGCCTCTCTCTGGCATTCTCTTTGGTGTTCTCAGTCTTGAGTCACCTCATGTCTCACCTCAGAGTGGTCCTCCCTGCCATCGTTGCCCCATCTCACAGTGACGCTGCTCTTTTATCCATCACCTCTAGGCCCAGGTGGGAGCATCCATACATGTGCATGCCCCGTGCTTGCTGGGCCCAGGTGTCCATTATTGGATGCCCATGAGCACCTTGGCATAGCAAAGGTTGGGCATAGCAAAACCTGACCACTCCATTTACCCTACATGCGCCATCCTCTTCACCAAGCACGAGCTACCTTTCAGGGTGTACGTGTCCTTTCAAACCCCTCTGGTGGAGGCTTTGGTGAGTTTGAATTTTGGAAACTAAAAACATTTATTTGGGGTGCCTAACAGGTTGACTCCTGGGCAGGACCAGTGAAGGTGGTGTGTTGTCTTAGCCAGAAATGCCAGAGCTTTGTAAGACTAGCGAGTCCCTCTGCCCTGTGCAGGAAGGGTGTGTCCCCAGAAGAGCCCCACATCCTCTTGGGACACTAGGCCTGGGCCCTGGTTGGGAGCAGCCAGGAAAGGGGCAGGAGCAGTGCTTGTGTAAAGGGTGGAACTGAAACCTGTTTGTTAACAGAGCAAACAGGTGGCTTGAAGTACAGGTTCAATCATATGGTACAAGTACATTTTTGTCCATCTTCTAACAAATGTTCTCTTTTTTGGTAGACAGACTGACAGATCCCTTAAAGTAATGACTTCAAAATTCCCTTCTAGGGCCCATTGGGGGAGGGACAGGGGGCTGGACCCCAGGATTCTGCCTCCTGTTTCATTTCCTGCAGATGTATCTCTTTAAAAACCACCTTTGTGGGGCCTCCCCTGTGGTGCAGCGGTTGAGCGCTGGGTTGCAAAGCTGCCTGGCAGCCCCTGCAGCGCTGGTTCGATCCCTGGCTGCTCCCTGGCCACTGGAGGAGGGTCCCACATGGTGTGCAGACCTCTCCTGCCGCCCGCTGCTCCCCTCAGCAGTGTACTTCGGTCCTTCTGCCTGCTCTGCTCCCCGCTCTGGCTCTGGTGAATTCTCTCACCCTCCCGCGCTTCTGACTGTATCCAGTGCTTGTATAAATAAATAAATAAATAAATCTTAAAAAATAAAATAAAATAAAATACAACATAAAAAAGAATATTATATTTAAAAAAAAAAACAAACACCTTTGTGGAGATATAGCCCACACACCACACAGTACACCCAAAGTGTTAGTAAATTCACAGAGTTGTGCAACTCTCACCACAGCTTTTTTCTGCTTTTGTCTGTGGAGGTTCTGTAGGAGATATGTTTAAAGGAGGAAAAGATAATGCCACAAAAATAAGGTTTGAAATGACTCCTGTCACCTTGCTGCAGTTGAAGAACCTGTTCTGCAGACGGTGCTCGTTTTCAATGTTTCTTTCAAACCACAATGAGAATCAGGAAATAAGCTTGATTTCTAAGTCTGATGGAGCAAAATCGACAGCAACTGTTTACTTTTTTCACAGAAGGGTCACTAAGGACTTATTCAGCATTTTTTTAAAAGTCCTTTTGCACCTATTTAACATGGCTAGAGGAGATTAGAACTGGTGGAGCAGGAAGACCCCTGGATGTGGCTGAAATAGGCAAATGACCAGGATGGGGGTGGGGGATGGTCTATAATCAGCAGCTGGGGCTACTTAGAGAGGAAATAAATGCTTGGCATCCCTGCCACCCCCCTGAGGCTTTCCTGCAGGACTTGTTGCAGTAACTGACAGTGAAAATCAAAGAAGACCAGAGTCATTTTAGCAAAATGTGCATCAAAAAAAGTCGAAGAGCTAGAAGTTGTGTACCAGAATGGGTGAGCTTTTGCTGTTCCATGAAAAGCTCATTGAAAAAAGCTCATTGAAAAGCTCATTGGCGCACTATAAGTGCTCAGTGAACTTTCTTTGTTAATTTTCCCCTTTGGAAAGATCGTGTCTATAAAGCGTCTCATTCCCTGTCGATGTCTGATTACTGAAGCTTTGAGAACTGGCTTATGTATATGAATTTGCAGGAAGCATTCTTTACTGGGCTTATGGGGGGGAGGGTGCAAAGATTAACCATAGAGTGTGCTATTGTCCCACTAGTATTCACCTTCTTTGCAGGAGGACTGGGCTAATTGGATTATTTTCAGTTGACAAATTTGGTTTTCTACCTCTCAACATATATTTATTGCCTCTGCTTTATTCACAGGATGAGTTCCCAGCTTGAGGTGAAACCATGAAGAGCAAATAGAACAAATAAGAATGCTTTTCCGCAATCGCTTCTTGCTGCTGCTGGCCCTGGCTGCACTGCTGGCCTTCCTGAGCCTCAGCCTGCAGTTCTGTGAGTGTCCCATGCTCCTCACTCCGAAATAGAGAGCCCTTTGGGGAGGAAGCAGAGCCTTTGTGAAATGAACACTGAGGTTGAAAACAACCCAGCCCTTTAGTATTGGTGCTAATGGTGGGTAGGTATGAGCAGGAACCTTGAACCTGTGAGTGTTGTTTTCGGTGCTTTTTTTTTTTTTTGGTCTTGAGGAACAGGAGCACTCACTAGGCCTTGTGACCTATTTTTGGCTTCTGCATGGATTCCTGAACTATTTGGTAATTTCCAGATTCTGGACACACAGAGTAGCAACTTGTCTTCTCCTCTGGCTGCACCCCACAGAGGCCTGGGTGTCCACTTTAAGCACAATGGGCCGTGGGGCCGCAGTTGTTAGGGAACTAGGTTACTGGTGCCAAACTCAACTCTCCGGGCCGCGGGACTGTGCGTGGCATGTCCCATTGGTCAGGCAAGAGCTTGGCTAATGAAACCAGTCAGTGGGCCTTACCACCCTTCGCTTGCCCTTCTCTGGGAACCTGTGCTCAGGCTGGACCCCAAGTCTATGCACCTCTCTACTCCAAGAGCAGATATCCTCAAACACAGAGCTGATCCAACACCTCCTTGGCAGCAACCCTTCAGTGGTGGTTTTCGGTCTTCTGGGAGGCCCCTTACCCTCCTGTGGCCCCTCTCGCAACTTCTATTCTATTTCATAGCTTTGCCAAGTTGCTTGACATTCTTCTCTGCATGTGCCAGTCTCTTTAGGGTTGTTCTATCAGCCTTCTCAGCTTGGAGTGCTCTCCTCCTCACCTCCATCCACATAGTTCACTCAGCCCTCTTCTCCGGGAGCCTTCCATGAACCCCCCCAACTGTGTCTGGTGCTTCTTTGGTGTACATCCAGGATGCCCTGAGCCTGTTCCCCTTCTTGCACTAACCATGCAGTATCATGATCTTCACTTCTTTTGTCCTTTCCTTCTGCAAGACAGTCTGCTCCTCGGAACCAGGGACCATGTCTCGTTTCCCTCTGTACCCCAAGTACCAGCACTGCCAACCATATAGTAGGTGTTTTGTGAATGATTGTCACATGAATGAGTGGGACTGCACTTGCTCTGAAAAGCAGGCTGGCTGGAGTTCCCTTTCCTTCCTGGGAACATGCCTGTATCATGTGGGAACTGTGTTTGCAGTCACCTGCCTCCTTTCAATCTAACCACCTCGCCCTCGTGAATGGGAGACAAAAGGTTGGCACCCATCACCACCAGGAATGGCTCTGTAAGGAGGTGGTGTTTCTGTTGCTATTTGAATGATGGATAGAAGAGCAGGTGGTGCAGGAATGAGCTGTTCTGAGTGCATGGAGCACCGTGGGGCAGTCTTGGCATTTGGAACAAGTGGTTTGAAGAAAAGAGATGCTGAAAAGTTTCCTGACCCACCTGTGTTTTGTGACATATCCCCATGCACACAGCTGGTACACATGCCAGTCTCTTTCTCATGTAAAGAGAATGAAAGATACTTATTAGATCCTTCCAGAATAGTAAAAGAGTCCAAGAGAAGGTGAGCATAAGAAATTCCAAGATACTCCAGATGGTTAATGAACTGTTAAATATGAATCCTTTCCAAAAAATGTGCTAGGACTCTCAGTAGTTTGTTTATAACTTCATTAAAAAATTTTTCCACCCTCTGGTTGGAAAGGCAGGATGTTACAATCAAACTTGAATTTTATTCTGAGAAGCTGACAAGTTCTGAGACATGAATGTGGGTTACTTGTGTTTGCTGCGTTTCTCTTGCATGAGGTGGTTTCCATGTCCCTGAATTGGCCTGTGTACTTTGCTTATATAACTCTTCTGAAAGTACCTTCTGTTTTAGGAGAGCCAATTTTCAGCCATACTTTTTAAGGAAAATTTTGCTGTTTAAATGAGCCTGCCTGGGTCTGTGCTCTTTATTCTTGGATTGTTGCAGTCCGGGAAGGTATTAAGATATGGACGTTCTTGCTACTCTTCTGCTTCTAGGTAAACTGTAACTCTGGCACCTACCTATGTCTCTGAATATGAAATTTAATTGTTTTTATTTGCTTTATTGACTGCTAATCATTATGGAATAAGAAATTGCACTAGCTCATAATACAGAGGGGTATTAAATAATACTTACGTTTTCACCCTTATCCCAAAATGTAAGGACTCTTTTTTCCATTTCTTTTGACTAATTTTTGAATACCGAATTAGCTCGTATAATTCCTGTAGGTGATATATTTGAATTTATCAAATATGACTTGGTTGTTTCTTCATGCTTTAAGTAAGCAAGGCAGTTTTGTTTTTGGAAATAATTGCATTTTGTTTTGTCTTGTTGGTAGTTTTCATTTTCTGATGTTTCAAATATGAGAAAGTTATGACGCAGGTTAAAATTTAAAAATTTGATTGTTTAAATAAACATTCCTTCTTCTTGAATTAGAAAGTGTATATGTGAGCCCACATATATTCGTTACCTACTTTTTTGTGTTGGGTAATTTTCAATACAGTGGGGGCTAAAGTGGTAGGGAAAGAATCCAAATAAGATAAAGGTGCAGTTTATAGTTTTTCAAAATATGTTCATTTTAAAATATGTTAATGACTTGTTCTGTGCTAACAGCTGTTAATGAAAATCATTTACTTTGTATTTTCAAGTCCTTGATGGCTTTTAGTCTGGAAATAGGAACATTCTGAATTTCTGATGTTCAGATTGTGGGAGAGAACAAGTAAGGCATAAATATCTTTAGTTGTTCTAGTTAAAACACATGCAAGTAGAAAAATGGCTTCTCATAATGAGGGACTCTTTTTGGGCAGCAAGAAAAGACGGTCAGATGTGAACACTTGTGAAGGAATAGTTATGTTTCTGCTCATTTGTAATCGTCCATTTTCCTGCATCACTCCAACCTTAATGCTTTTTTAATGCTCATTTACTGCTGGCCTTTCCCACGTGGCAGTGTACAGAAACCCACAGCCTCTGAAGTAGCTACCTTGGGTTTGAATCCTGTTCTTAGCAGCCTCGTGCTAGGCAGGTTTCACTTCCAAGAGCCTCTGTTTCCTCTTCTGTAAAATGGAGTTAACGGTTGCTGCTCTTTGATGTTGGTGTGAGAGAGGAGATCTTGTGTGAGAACCTTGCATTCCAGGCAGTAGTCATGGTTCTCAGAATATTAAATATGGACCTACCATGTGACCCAACAGTTCCACTCCGAGGTGGAGTGGAACTACCACCGTATCTCCACTATTTACCTGAAGAATATAAAATCACTAATTTGAAGGATATATGCACTCCTGTGATCTTGCAGCAACATTTACAATAGCCAAACTATGAAAATAACCTAACTGCTCTAAAACAAATGAGTGGATCAGGAAAAAGTGGTGTATATATACACCATAGAATACTATAGCTAGGAAAAAGGTAAACTCTTGCCATTTGTGACCACATGGATGGAGCTGGATATTACGTAAGTGAAATAAATCAGAAGGAGAAAGACAGATACCAGATAGTCTCACTTGTATATGTGGAAGATAGAGAAATCAAACGAAGGGTCAAACAGAGCCAAACGCAAATTTTTAAAACCATAGTAAAGCCACATTGCCATGTGCCATCCTCAGAAACCAGGACTCTTGTGCCTCAGAGGCTGCCAGGGCTACTGTTACTCCAGTTGTCAGGGAAAGCCTTTGAGATAGCATATGTTTCAGTTGTTTTTGATCAGTTCATTGGCATGACTGGGGACAGCCTAACCTGGGCACATGTCATCCATAGCTTGGTGTCACTTCTTGGGTGGGACTCCAGTTGACCAGAGCATGTCAGAGGGAAGTGTCCAAGATGGACTGAAAGTTCAGATCCTTGGTGGAAGGGGGAGGGAAACCTGGAGAAGCGAAAGCCAGGGTTGTCTTTGATGTCTGAAGTAACTCTGTGCAGGACTCAGACCAGTGCTGTGTGTCGCACTTGGTGGTGGAGACATGTGCCAGTTAAGTATAAGTCTGAACTTTCTACATGTCAGTGTTGCAGAGGTGGAATGGGTGGTATGCAAACTGGGGTGCATTTCTCTATAAAGAGTAGAACATGAGTCATTTAACCTGATTCTGTTTAACGTCTCTTCAGACCCCAAAGCTTTATGAATGTTATCTATCTTTGTGGATCCAGTGCCAGGAGTATGCACAGCTTTGCCCTTCAGTAAATGTTTTCAGGTTCCCTCCATTGCACCCCGGACTGGGAGTTATCCCTCAAGGGCCTCCAGGAGCTCGCTATACATTGGAGGAGAGTGATGAGCAGACACTCGCACAGCATGCAAGATGCCAGGGCAGGAGAGGGGTGGCAGCAATGGCTGCAGGGAGGTGGGCGAGAATGGACTGGAGCCAGAGTGCCTAGGTCAGTCCTTGTCTTGCCACTTATCAGCTGTGTGAACTCAAACAAGTTGTTGACATTCTCCAAGCCACCTTTCCTCATCTATAAAATGTGAATAATGAGGGTGCCTATTTCATAAGGTTGGTAATGGATTAAGTGAGCTAATATTTACAAAACACCTAGAATTACTATTGTTAATGAAACTGAATTAGAGATAATTTTTGGGAAGATGATAGGGGAGCTAGAGGACAGGAGCTAATCCGGCCTGGGAGGTTGGAGAAGACTCCAGCAGAGGTGTCATCAAGCTTCATCCTTGAGGCATGAGTAGGTGTTGACCAAGAAGGAAGTTGGAAAGGGCATTCCTGGTGGAGGAAGGCAGGTGTGCAAAGACAGAGGGAGAGAGGGGGCTGGATTAGTCACCCTGTGTGTAGCTGTGACATTGGACTGAGGTCAGGGCCACTTCCATCACCATATTTTATCGAAGGCTTGGGAGCCATTAGTCAGGGAAGACACCCTCAGATTTATATCTTAGAAAGACCACAATTCCGGACAATGTCTCCCAGAGTGTGGCCTTTCAGCATCAGCATCTTGATCCGAGTGTCCCAGAAAGCTTGTTAAAAACACTTGTTCCAAAAGCAAAAAGAGAGTGCTTTTTTTTTTTTTTTTTTTTTTTGGCCCTTCCT